ACTGGCTAGCCATATGCAGGAAGCTGAAACTGGACCCCTTCCTTATACCTTATACAAAAATTAACTCCAGATGGATTAAAGATTTAAATGTAAGAACTAACACCATAAAAACCCTAGAAGAAAACGTAGGCAAAACCATTCAGGACATAGGCACAGGCAAGGACTTTGTGACTAAAACACCAAAAGCAGTGGCAACAAAAGGCAAAATAGATAAATGGGACCTAATTAAACTTAAGAGCTTCTGCACAGCAAAAGAACAATCATTAGAGTAAACCAGCAGCCAACAGAATGGGAAAAAGTTTTCGCAATCTACCCACCAGGCAGAGGGCTAATATCCAGAATCTACAAAGAACCAAAGCAGATTTACAAGAAAAAAAAACAAACCCATTCACAAGTGGGCAAAGGATATGAACAGACATTTTTCAAAAGAAGACAAATTTGCAGCCAATAAACGTATGAAAAAATGCCCATCATCATTGGTCATTAGAGAAATGCAAATCAAAACCACATTGAGATACCATCTCATGCCAGTTAGAATGGCAATCATTAAAAAATCTAGAGACAATAGATGCTGGAGACAATGTGGAGAAAAAGGAACACTTTTATACTGTTGATGGGAGTGTAAATTAGTTCAACCATTATGGAAGACAGTGTGGTGATTTCTGAAGGATCTAGAAATAGAAATTCCATTTGACCCAATAATCCCATTACTGGGTAGGTACCCAAAGGATTATAAATCATTCTATCATAAAGACACGTGCACACTTATGTACATTGCAGCGCTGTTTACGATAGCAAAGACCTGGAACTAACCCAAATGCCCATCAATGATAGACTGGACAAAAAAAATGTGGCACATATACACCATGGAATACTATGCAGCCATAAAAATGATGAGTTCATGTCCTTTGTAGAGACATGGATGAACCTAGAAACCATCATTCTCAGCAAACTGACACAAGAACAGAAAACCGAACACGACATGTTTTCACTCATAGGCAGGTGATCAACAGTGAGAACACTTGGGCACAGGGAAGGGAACAACACTCACAGGGCTAGGTGTGGGGGTAGAGGGGAGGGACAGCGTGGGGGGCGGGAAGGATGGGGAGGGATAACGCTGGGAGAAATGCCTGATGTAGGTGACGGGTGTTGGAGGGGTATGGAGACAGCAAACCACCATGGCAGTTATGTACTTATGTAACAATCCTGCAGGATCCAGGACGTGCACATGTACCCCAGAGCCCAAATACAATTAAAAAAAAAAAAAAAGAATTCATGGGTTTTCATATATTTGAAGTGTTTCAGTCCATTATAATCATATTTTGGGGCCCTTTCACATTGGCTCCAAAATAGTACTTTATAATTTATAAGACACCATACATTAGTCATTTGAACTTTACAAATAACCCTATGAAGCTAAGTGTTATTACCCAGTTTTACAAATTAGAAATCTAATCATACAGCTCAAACCGGGACTTGATGTCTATTGTTCTTCCCATTACATAAGACAATGGTTGAGAGAATGAGTGTTGAAGGTGACCAAATTCTTTTTCTGTTTTTTTTTTTTTTTTCCTCTGGTTTTGAGACTAAACAGCAGCTGTCTTTAACCAGTGGGAATATGATATTAAGCAATATCCACTTTAGAAGACATTACTTGTAGCAAACACTGTTGATAATACTGTAACTTAGTAAATAGCCTCTCTCAACTTTGTTTGTGAAGCATTTCAATTTTGATTACTCTGTGTGGGATCTACTGCTCAGATGTGTGTCATTTTATGGTCTACCCATGTCTGGGGAGCTGGCATTTCACGCTACCTAGTGTTTTTAATTCAGAAGTTCTTCTAAAAGAAACCTTAGCCTCCTATATTCCAACCCTAGTTTTAATAGCATAAGCTATTTCCTTCTTATATAGCTTTGTGGGCATAGTAATAAAATAAATACCACAAAATCACTGATGAGATGAAAATTGAGCTCCCTGCTTCTGTGCAGCCATGTAGGTAAAACAGTAATTGGCTCTGATAATAACTTTTGTTCTTACAAACCAAAGTCTAAATGAGAGTCACATTTGATATATCTGCTTGTAATTACTGTCAAAAGGAGAGAATACAAAGTTTAGATTGTTTAGGGACTCAAGATAGATTATATAAATTGCTATCTTTTCTTGACCAATTTACTAAAAATTTCTGAAATTATTTCTGATATTTATGTCACTGTTGGGAAAAAAAAATGTGTATCTTTCTAAGCATACTTTCTTGCTTAATGGAATGATTAATTTTATTTTTGTTTTTGAAGCCTGTAATTGACTTTCTTGAAAATCTTATTACTGGGTATCATAATGCAGCATACGCTTATAAGTATTTTACCATACATCCCTATAGATGCTTTGTACGATAAATTTAGGTTTTGAATGTATTTAGTAGTGAGTTTCAGTGAAACATTTGCTACGTTAAATTTTTTTTTTTTTGAAGCCGAGTGTCACTCTGTCACCCAGGCTAGAGTGCAGTATCACAATCTCAGCTCACTGTAACTCCACTTCCTGGATTCAAGCAATTCTCCTGCCTCAGCCTCTCAAGTAGCTGGGACTACAGGCACGCACCACCATGCCCAGCTAATTTTTGTACTTTTAGTAGAGATGGGTTTCACCATGTTGGCCAGGGTGGTCTCAAACTCCTGGCCTCAAATGATCCGCCCACCTCAGCATCCCAAAGTGCTGGGATTACAAGAGTGAACCACCATGCCTGTACGGTTATGTTAATATTCCTTAAACATAGATGCCTTTTAAGTGTTTTTGGAAGGAGCAATTAAATCGTGTATGCTACATATTATTATTTTGGTATCCACATTTAGTGGTACCAAAATAGTAAATATGAGAATGTTAGTATTTTAAAATTATCCTTTAATCTCAAATCATTGCTTTAGAAGTCAACCATAAAGAGTTGATATTATACCTATCATTTTTGTTGGATTTCTATTTACATACTGATTTCTTTTCAAAAATATCCATGTCTAGCGCTACAGAATTTAACAATAGGCAAAACACCTACAGGACTTTAAGGCCAGTTTTAGCAGTGATTCTGTATTTGGCCATTTCCTCTCTATAACCACACAAGCTTGATGGAGCATGATAAATCTAAGAAAGCTGCTATGGCCCACTGAGCCAATAATCCCATAATTGAAAAGTTCTAACAAAGTTTGGACATGATAGATGAAGCTATTACCATCAATTCTGTATCTAAAATACATTTTAAAAACACCCTTATTACAGAAACCCACATCCAATCAATATATACGTATTAGAAATTTTATAATCCTTGGTAGAATAGAAATTATTCTGAAAGTATAATTAAGAAGGAAAAAATTATGTTCAGATATTAATTTCAATAGAAGAGGTAATTTGCTTCCATGTGAAAACCCTAGAGCAGTGCTGTGAGTGTTACCCACAGAAGAAAAGCCATTTATAATTAGGTACTACATTATTTTTGTCACCACGTGTACCTCAAGGAGAAGGAAACAGACATGTCTTGTTTGCATCCTGTGTTCCTTCCCAGATTAAATAAAGTGGACTGTTGAGGGCAGTTATTTGGAGATTTGGTTTAAAAAATGCTATTAAAAAGTAAAAGTAAGACTTGGAACATGTGTTAAGAAATACCTTAGCTAGATGTATCTATGCTTATCTACCATACATTCCGTAGATATTTTTGTAGCCTCCTTCTTCACTTTGACCTTAGGCACAGACCCTTTATGAATGCACATTTCAAAGAAACAGCTGGATCACGCACAAAGCTGTCCAATTCCTGTAACCATTTTAACAACTGCATCAGATAATCCTCAAAACTGAGACACTGAATTGAAAGGAAAACAGTTAAGTTGCTCACAATACTTCTAACCTCCTTTTTAAAAAATTTCAAAGGCTACATATTTTGATTCCATTTCTATGAAATGTCCAGAATAGATGCATCAGTAGAGACAGAAAGTAGATTACTGGTTGCCTGGAGCTAGTGGGAGGTGGGAATAGGGAACAATTGCTAATGGGTATGAGGTCTCATTTTGGGGTGATGCAAGTGTTCTGGAATTAGATAATGGTGATGGTTGTGAATATGCTGAAAACCACTGAATTGTTCACTTTAAAGGGGTGAATTTTATGGTATATGAATTATATTACAATTTTATTAATCACAAAAGACTTTAGAAATTATTAGTAATACTATAGTCCCTGTGTGCCAAATTATCTTTTAGTCTCAAATCATAGAATCCCAAAGCTCAGGCATGGTTCCTCAGGAGACTGTCAGGTCTAACATGCATTTTGCAAATAAAGAAACTGACTTCCTTAGAGGTGAAGTGACTTACCCAAGGTCACGCATAGCAGTCAGGAGAGCTGGCAACTAGGTGTCCTGACAGCTGTCTAGGGCCCCTTCCTACCACCACTGTGTGGCCCATTCTCATGGTTTATTTTTAAGTATCTCAACAATAACTAATTTGAATTATTTAAAATGAGAAATAAGTGGTTCAAACAAGAGACTTACTTTTTCTAATGAAAGCATAAATTATTCTTACAGATAAGAGAATCTCTGTGAAGGAGTAGATAAATTTGTTGTGGTAAATTTACCAGGCCCAAACTGAGATTTACCTGTAAACCTCCCTAGAGGAAAGTGGCCACATTAACAGACCAAGGGAGCCCTCTACCTGTGTATTTGTAGTATAGATTTCATTGACAAATCCCTGACCTGGAAAGCTAAAAATAAATTAAGACCAGGCATTCTCTCCAGTCCTTTGCCCACCTTGGTTGGCTTCCAGCATTATTTTTGAGAAAATGTGTCTGAGGATGTATTTGTGGGAGCAATGGGATACACAGAGAAAAATCTACAGAAAGTTCCCTTTCTGTGAATAAAAGGGACCAATTAGCAGCCTAAATAAAAGATCCAAATATATTTTTTCCAGTGAGAATTACATTAGAATAATTATTTCCAAAGAACTTTAAACTCCTTTAAGGATATAAAATGTTAGTAAGCATTTTTGTTCATCCAGCATGAAAGTTTCATTGTTTCTTTGTTTCAGCGAAAGATAGGGTTGAATGTAAAAATCATGCAGGATCCTGAAAACATCCACCACAGAGCTGCTGTAAATGCGAACTATGGAATCAATTTGCCATATATTAATCAGAGAAAAGCATGTGTAAGTAATGAGTTGTTTTAATGAGCTCTTATTTTTTAAAGAAATAAAAGTCATTTATTAGTAGGGTAAGATGTAATATAGATGTTAAGTAAAGATTGTGATCCTTTTGTCTTTGGAATTTTTTGGGGATGGAGTGGTTCTCATTCTGTTTATAATTAGCAATGATTAAGAAGATGTAAGCCTATTTTAAAGACTTATTTGTAGCTCAGATTTCTCTGTTTTATTTGATATTCCTAAACTAGTACCATAATTTTAACAAGGAAATAATTTACCAGCAAAAACAATTAATAATTTTAAATATTTTATTTCTTTGATAGTAGGCTTACCACTAGAAGAATCAAAAAAAAAACCACAGAATCGTCTTCAGTTGTGCATAGTCTGATAATGTGCAAATATTTGAGAATATTATTCTAAATCTGAGGCAAGCAGGAACTAATCCTTTATGTCAGCAAAATAATGAAAGGGAAAAATAATCAAATGTAGATTTGCAGTAAGAGATCTCAGAGCCTATGCCTGTTTTTGCCATTGACTAGCTGCTAACTTGTCCTAAAGCAAGGGTTGTACTCTTAACTATGTTGTGGAGTTTTCTTAGGAAAATTAAGAGTAGTGTTTCATTTTAACTGGGAAATTATTTAATTTGAGATCATTTCTAACACTGAAAACAATTACTGAGGTAACAGCTATATATTTTTAATACATTTTTAACCTTTGGCTTCTCTCAAAAGCTCTTCAATATATGCCTTGGTGAAATCAAAACTAAAAACAAGATTAATGTTAGGATTAAATTGCAAAGCCATTTCTAACTAGCATAATAGTCTCTTAGATTAATCTTCCAAATTTCCTACATAGACATTTTCAACCGCCTACTTCATTTATGTAACCCTGAAATATATTTTCAGTTTCTTTATTTGTGCTTTATGTTATTCTAACAGGTTTGGTTTAAGAGCACTTTATCTTACAAATACTTTTATAGCCTAAGAAATAACCAGAAAGTTAGATATTTTTATTCCTGCCGAAACTTTATTTAAAATGTCACTGTGAATAATGAGAAAGGGTTTTTATCTGCTTCCCATGAGCCCAAAGCCCTCGAAATAAAAATATTATTTCTCTGGCAACACAGAGAGAAGCAGATTTCCCTTTTGTTGTTGTTGGTTTTCCTCTTCAATCTAGAATTAATATTGGCTTAGCTGGAGGAGTACCGAGGCTTTGTAGCCTGAGGCAACTGCTGCGTTTCCTGCGAACTTTTTCTGATGAGTACTGGAGTTTTAAAAGGCATACCTCTCGAGTTAAAAAGGATCATGCTTTGCTTTATGAATCTGAATGAGGATTCAGATTTAAATAAATAGAGATTTCAAAATTATATCCAAAACTTGGGGCAGATTCTTAGTCATTAATTATATTTTTTCCAGTTTCCAAATAGAATGAGTGCCTTAGATATTGTATCTATATACTTTAGCAAAGAGAATTTGAGAAAGCACTTTGCCTTTTATGACATATAGCTAGTAGATATCCATTTACTGTATTAAATCTCCTTTTTTCATAAAACTAGATGCCATAAAAGTCTATACCAGAGCAATTTAAAATTGGATGTACATTATGTACATTTTATTCAAACAGTTGGCCTTTTGATCAAATAGTTGACCCTATCATTTTATGTTGATATAGTTGTATGGTGGTACTAACTGAAAACAGTATTTTCATTTTGGATTTAAAAAACAGAAGCATTGTGCAAAAAGTACTATGAGAGAAGTATTCAGGTATTTGGTTTTAAACAGTCATATAAAGCATTTGGGGATAAGTGCAATTGTGATTTACCACTTACAAAAATGGTATCAAAAGCACTTACGTAAACTAGAGCAGTGTGTCTAGCATTGTGATGTATAGTTAATTAGAAAAGCAGCATCAAAGCTAATCATTTTAGAACTACTCTAAACACTCAAAGGGGATTATTATTTGGCTGCCGAGGGCTATGTGTTTCCTTACATCTTATGAAACTTGTTCAGCCTGTCAAAAGCCTGTAACAACTTTAGACACTTTTGACAGAACAAATGTGAATATGTAGCCAATTTCCATTATTAGTTCCTAAGAGCTGGTATCTTCTCCATCTTATGAAACGGTGTATTCTTCCTGATAATAAGGAGCTGATGCAAGGATTTCAGTGCATTCAAAACATGTAACCCCTGCCACACACACAAGTACTAGTATTGCAAAACTATTTTCAGAATTTTATATTCTGTGACTCTGTTATGTAAAACCAATTTACCAAAAAGTATTAAAAGTAAGACTCACTGGTGATTTTTTCAGTATCTTCAATCTGCCAAATAGTAACAAACAACCTTCCAACATTTTTTCTAGTAGGTTCTCATAGGAATGTGGAAACAAGAAGAAATCCCTGGTACTGTTCACATTCCCTCACTGACACCTAGTTCCAGTTAGACTTTATAATACAACACACTAAGAGATCTACAGAAAATTTGACTTTGATTTATTTTTTTTAAATAAAAAGAGTTTCTTAAAAGGCTTGAAACATGTATCTGTTAACATGAATTTTAAAAGAACGATTATGAATGCATAACAAAATAGCCAAACAAAACATTGCTTTGAATTGCTGCACAAATAACTCTGATTATAACTGTTATGACCTAGAAAAGAATCATAAAAACATTTTTCTTTTTGGCAAGATATGAGTTGTTGTAGAATTATACCAGTTCTTTGGTCCCACTTTCCAAATAAATAAATATATAATGCAATATAAACTTAGCATCTTTTATTTATTCATGAGGTTGAATTTAATACTATTATGATTTCTAGATTTTATGAGTCATATGTTATGCAGTGTTTTACACTAACTTAGTTGGGTAGCAACCACACTTCACAAATCATAGTTTCATTCTTTACTGTTTCGCTTGGGGTGTACATAGTAATCTCTCTCTCACTGAAAGCATATTCATTTCTGAAATGATAAAGTAATAGAAAGTGAGGCAATTGTGTTAATGTCAAATGATTAAAAGAAGCACCAGAAGGAAGGGGGGGGGGCGGGGTGGGGGAGTGGAGAAAGAAGGGCAGTTTCAAAACATGATTGTGTTTTAAGCCCATGCATATGGCCACAATTACAGTCACAACATAATTTGGCAACAGTAGCAGAATTAGATTTAAACAAATTGATGTTACACTGCAGTAATTCAGAATGAGCTTGTTGCATTTATAAACCATAACAAGAAGCAGAGTGAATTAATAAACCCTTCTTGTCACTAAAAATAAAAAAACGGAATAATTGCTGAGATGGAGTTAACTTAACAGATGACTATAGTCAGCATCCTTTCTGGCTAGATACGGGAAAGTGAAGGTCACCCCCATCTCGGATGACAAAGAGGGAACATTTTGTTGGTAAACAAATTAATCTTTTGAAAGGTCGCCATTTGTTTTAAGTTTTTATCCAGTTCTTGTCATCTGGAATCAGAGATTGACTGTCATTTCACCAGGCAGGGGTGCAGTTGAGGCAGACAAAGCTGCTTCTGTACGTATCAGCATTCCTTGACAAAACTCAGTGCCTGATTGTGATGCTATGGGCTGCTGGTTTACAGCTGTCTCCGGACAAGAATGGAGGCCCACCCCTGAATTCCAATAAGATGGGCCTGCATATTCCGCCTGCTGTAAGCTGGCCCTCTGCCCACAAGTAAAATGTATTGTAGTTCAAGCCAGCAATTATCTCTTTTACTTCCTTCTGTGCTGCTTCTGTTCTCTTTTTCCAAAAACAGATGTGGATATTCACTCAAGTTCTGCATCTATTCTTTCTCACACCTGCTGGGGCAGAATTTTGACAGAGGTAGAGTTTGAGGGAGCCAGCAGACAACAATCAAATGCAATTTCTTTGAGAGCAGTTTAAAAAGAAAATGTTGATTTTTCAGGAAATGTGGAGTCAGCATCTTGGTCCCCCTCCCTTTACCAGGAGCATTTGGTAAATTAAATTAGTTGAACAAAAGGAAATAGCTTTAAAGACATTCTGAAATGCCATATCCTATTTATGACACACAGTCATTACCCAAGGACTGCGGTGGCGTGAACAGCATCCTACTCCTATCATTTAAAGAGAGTTTTCTCTTCAGGTTGCTTAGAAAGAGTTTTTGACAAAGGAATGACTTTTCATGTCCTTCCTGATTCACAGCCTATAAAATATATTCCCCCAATATGGCAGTAATGGTGGTGGTGGTGATGGTGGAGGTAGTAGGGTGTTGCCTTTGTATGTTGTTGCTATTTAGAATTTCAATTCTGCATTGGTTTGGAGTACTGGGAAAGCTGAGGACAGTGATGCAATGTTAGCTGGTGGATGGCTGTCTCAAAAAGCCCATTGCTCTGAGAGCGGGGAGAGGCAGGGAGAGGCTATAGCCTTGTCAGATAACAGTCATAAAAGAATCTAACTGTAGTGAGTTTTCTCTTAATTTCTTTACAGGGCTGTTTCTTGAGCTTCTATGCCAAGATCCTGCATGCATTCCCAAACCAACCCTGTGCTGAACTGAAACCACTTTTTAGCTCTTAGAATAGTGATTCTGGGTCAGACTGCCTGGTGTGAATCCTTACTAGACCAGGGATCTCCCAGAAATAGTCTCCCTTTCCTCATGTAAAATGTCCATAATAAAAGTATCTATCTCATAGGATTGTATTGAGCTTTTAAATGAGATAATTCAAAGCACTTAACAAAGGTCCCAGTACAAAGAATTGTTCTGAAAAATATTAGTTATTACTATTGGCAAGTCTCATATATTATATTGTGCCATTTGTTTTATACTGCCATTTAAAACATACTATTGTAGGGATCAAGGCAGGGAACCAGAATATTGCTGAGGTCTCCTCCAGGGATACTATTTAATACTTTATATGATTATGCTTTCTTTCCCACACAGATACAAGGACAGAGACCTTGTTTGTTCTGTTTGTCTGTTTTTCAAATCCTCCCCTGCACCAAGCAGTGTTTTACACATAATAGGTACTAAGGACAGGAC